TTTCCATGGGTCATCAATCGAAGACTCGAAGTCCTGGCTAGAAACATACGACCGTGTGGCCGCCCTCAAACACTGGGACCATGACGAAAAGCTCCCTCGTGTATTTTTCTATTTAGAAGACACCGCAAGGACCTGGCTCGAAAATCGGGAGTCCACGCTCTGAACGTAGGATGTCTTCTGCGGCGCATTCCTGCAAACGTTCTCGAGCGTCGCTCGCAAAGAAAGGGCCGCTGCTTTATTAGAGACCCGGGTTTAGCTACCAAATGAAAATGTCGCTATTTTCACAGAAGAAATGACCCGCCTATTCCGTCACGCTGACCCAGACATGCCTGAGGAGAAGAAAGTTCGTTTCCTCATGCGAGGGGTCAAACAGGAGCTGTTCGCGGGACTGATGAGAAATCCACCGAACACCGTCCAAGAATTTGTAGCAGAAGCGACCACTATCGAAAAGAGCTTGGACATGCGCACCAGACAGTATAATCGTCACCCGACTCCAGAATGCGCTGCTGCTCAAGCCAGTAACTCTGAAGACCTGCGTGAAACGATCCTAGCGATCATGCGGGAAGAGCTGCTCAAGCTGTTGCCTTCGGCGCAGCCTCAAGTGGATTCGATCGCCGATATTGTGCGAGAAGAAGTTCGGCTATCGCTTCGAATTCCCCAAGCACCGCTGCCCGAGCTGGAAGCTATGAGCTACGCCACTGCAGTGCGCCATAACGCTCCTCCCCGTCCACGCAAGAACGCCGCCCCATCGCACTTCTTTCGACAGACGCCGCCACCGCCGCCACCCCCACCGACGTCATACTGTTCACCAGCAGCCCAGCGCAGCGCGCCGAGGAAGACAGACGTCTGGCGCATTCCTGACTACCGCCCGCTCTGCTACCACTGCGGCGAGGCCGGACACACATACCGCCGTTGCCAGTACCGACAGATGAGACTGCGTGGCTTCGCCGTCAATGCACCGCGTCCACAGCCAGAAAAGTGCAGATTTGCGTATGAGGAGCTCTTGTTTTTGGGGCACGTTATTAGCAAGTCTGGAGTTCGTCCTGATCCACGGAAAACAGCCGCCATCGCCAACTTCCCGCTGCCCACTGACAAGAAGGCAGTGCGCCGATTTCTGGGCCTGTGCGCCTATTATAGGCTGTTCGTGAAAAACTTTGCCCGCATCGCCGATGCTCTCTCTAACCTTACCAAGGCCGACGTGGAGTTCAAGTGGGAAACGCCGCAGGAACACGCTTTCCAGGAGCTTAAACATCACCTCCAGACGCCTCCGTTACTTGCCCACTTCGATGAATTCGCCGAGACAGAAATACACACTGACGCAAGCAGCGTAGGTCTTGGCGCCGTTCTCGTGCAGAGGGCTGACGGACTTAAAAGTGTTATTAATTACGCCAGCCGATCGCTATCCAAAGCAGAAGCCATTTATTCCACAACAGAAAAGGAGTGCCTCGCCATCATCTGGGCTACGTCGAAATTTCGCCCTTACCTCTACCGCATGCCCTTTAAAGTTGTGAGTGACCACCACGCCTTGTGTTGGCTAGCCACCTTGAAGGACCCTTCAGGTCGCCTCGCACGATGAAGCCTGAGACTTCAAGAATATGACATTACTGTCATTTACAAGTCCGCCAAGAAACACTCTGACGCCGACTGTCTCTCTCGTGCGCCTGTCGACCAACCACCACCCGACGACCCGGACGACTACTTCTTGGGAACGATAACTACCGACGACTTCGCGGAACGACAACGGGCCGACCCGGAACTTAAGGCCCTAATAGAATACCTCGAAGGCAGGACCGCCGAAGTCCCGAAGTTATTCAAGAGCGCACTTGCGTCGTTCTTTTTGCGAAACGGTCTTCTACAAAAGAAAAACTTTTCACCGCTTCGAGCTAAGTGCCTCCTTGTGGTGCCTTCAGCTTTGCGACCAGAACTTCTGCAGGCCCTGCAAGATAATCCGACGGCAAGGCACTTCGGTGTTTCTCGCACGCTCGCGAAGATGCAAGAAAGGTACTACTGGCCACGTCTTACCACCGACGTCACTCGTTATGTGAGGACATGCCGGGACTGTCAGCGACTCAAGGCACCACCAACAAGGCCAGCGGGACTTCTGCAGCCAATTGAACCACCTTGCCAACCTTTCCAGCAGATTGGTATGGAACTACTGGGGCCGTTCCCGACGTCGGCTTTTGAAAACAAGCGGATCGTGGTAGCTACCGACTACCTCACCCGCTACGCCGAGACAAAAGCCCTTCCCAAAGGCAGTGCATTCGAGGTAGCTAAGTTCTTCGTCGAAAATATAGTCCTACATCACGGTGCCCCGGTGGTCCTTATCACCGACAGAGAAATGGCGTTTACTGCCGACTTAACTCAAGCGATCTTGCCATACAGCCACACAAACCACCGCCGGACGACAGCGTACCACCCACAGACCAACGGCCTCACCGAGCGGCTTAACAAGACGATTGCCGACATGCTGGCAATGTACGTCGATGTCGAACACAAGACGTGGGACGCCATTCTTCCGTACGTAACCTTCGCATACAACACGGCGGTGCAGGAGACGACGCAGATATCTCCATACAAATATGTCTACGGAAGGAGCCCAGCAACGACCCTCGATGCCATGTTACCCAACGTCACTGACGAAGAAAACCTCGATGTGAGTGAGTACTTTCAACGCGCCGAAGAAGCCCGACAACTTGCGCGTCTCCGTATCAACAATCAACAGACGACCGACAGCCGCCGTTACAATCTTCGACAACGCTTCGTGGAATACCAGCCCGGTGAGCGTGTTTGGATGTGGACGCCGATACGCCGACGTGGACTAAGTGAAAAGCTTCTGCAACGGTACTTCGGACCGTACAGGCTGGTTCGACGTCTCGGCCCACTTGATTACGAGGTTGTCCCAGACGGCATCACGAACTCTCAACGACGCCGATCGCGACCTGAATTCGTCCATGTCGCGTGCCTTAAGCCGTTTCATGCGCGTTGACAAATTGAAACAGTGTTTTTTTTTATTATTATTGTATCGTAATTTATTCATTGTACTTTCTTGCATTATTGTTGTACCTTCATCTTTAGTTAAAGCATCGGGACGATGCCTCTTTCAGAGGGGAACAATGCCACGTTTCATTTCTCAAGTTTTGTTATCGTCCTAAAACACTACACAATTCTCAGCGCAAACCGCGCCTGCAGTTTTCGAGAAGCTTCCGGACTGTAGTAGATCATTTCGATAAGATTACGCCTACTTTGCGAACTGTACAGATTATTCTGGAACCTACGCCACCGCCAGCGATAATGCTAGAACATTCGACGGCAAGAGTATAAATGCCGATGCGCTTCGCCGCTTGTCAGTAGTTGATTGACGGCCGACGCTCCATTCACTGCTATCTGTGCAAGACTGCTACTGTAATCGAACTTTCCGTTTACCGGGCACAGGTTTGCCCAAATAAACAGTTAAATCCCAACATAATTTCCTCTGTCTTCGGCCACGTCACGACCCTGTGACAATATACAGCTCTGCTCAACGAGTTTCCGGAGATTACAACGCAGACTCCCATGGCTAAGACCCCCAAGCACACTGTGACTTGTCGTATCGATGCGTCTCGCCGTGCTCTTCAGCCTCGCTATGACAGTCCTTTCCCAGTAATCAAGCGTTCTGAACATCATTTTACAATCCTGCGTAATGTGCATGAAGACACAGTCAGCATTGAAAGGATCAAGCCGGCACTCATTCTGACAAGCTCCTTCTGATCGTTTTTTTTTTTCTTCAAGTGCCTAGGGCCTCTTGTCTACAGGGGGGGGCCTATCTGTGGCATACTTTTCTTCTTCTTCTGGCACGACACACTTGGGACATAAGCTAGTAGTGGGTAGCCTGCTGAGGAGAGAAGAGGGAGTTGGAACAATGGCGGAGATGCATTAATAAACCGCGCTGTGTTTTCGGAACGGCGTTCCAGAGTGCTATACAGTATTTTTTGATCATGACAGTCTGACCAAGGAAGGCAGAACAATTGCAAGTTTCACAGTGTAAAGCCATGTTGCTGCCCGACCTTTGTTTGAAATTGTTGACATGTTCTCACAAGGGATTAGTAATACGTTAGCCAGTTTGGCCGTTTAATTTATCTATATGTGTCAATCGCTCTGTATGTCATCTTCTTGTTCCTGTTTTTGTGCACTTACAGTTTCCACAACACCTTCAATACTGCACTTGGCACAGTTCACTGTTTAATGAATAGTCTGCTCAGTTACCTTTGTCTGGGATTGATGTTCTGAGTTTTTAGTGCTATGTATAGTGGTAAGTCGTTGCCTTTGAGATAGCAGACTAGTTGGCCACATTTTTACTGCTCCTGCCACAGGCTGAAGTTGTTTTGCAAAGGCTCAACAGTACACGCACTACCAACCGATCGCCACCAAAGTTAGGTAAAATGTTTGGAAAGAGGATAAAGTTCCATGCAACGCATCCACACTCGTATGAACGTTCGCTAGAGATGATGATTTGATGATTGATTTGCGGGATTTAACGTCCCAAAATCACTATATATACGCTAGAGAAGTCTCAATCTCGTCAAACATGGTCACCATGTAAAAGTGCACCGCCATGTGTTTGGGAAAAAGCCCATATTGTATATGTACTGTCGGTCTGCTACATGTGGCAGAGCAGCAGTAAACAGCATTGTTTAGCACTTGAATAGATGGATTACGTAGCCATGCTGTGGTCTCAATGCAGCAGCTGTACTGTCTTGTTTCCATAAAGCGTTGAGAATAATCGTGGCAATAAAATAAGGGTGCAATGAATAAAATGCACGTAGTATAGACAGCCATTGAAAACTGGTAATTAAAATAAAAGCCAAATAATGTATCTATCAAATTGTGAATGCCTTTGAATGCTAAAGCATGAAAACGAGAGGCACCAGTGTTGAAGCCACTCATCGAACTGTTCAAGATGCTGCCTTACGAGGCAACGGTGTTGGGATGGGCAGAACCAAGAATGTGGCCCCGCCTTGCAGAACCTGCCCAAGGAGGAGAGGCCCAAGGGGGTGACAATCCACAACCAGGAGGCGTTGCTGATGATGGCCAAGTTGCCTGAGGAAGAGCGCCAGGTGCTGTCACTGCCACGCTCAGAGTTTGTCGAGTACGAGGTGGTGCTCCAGAGCATCCCGCTGTCGGCCCAGCCTCAAGGAGCTTGCACCCTGCAGAGCTTGCTGGGTCAAGCGGCGGCCAAGTCGTCTGCCTCGCTAGACAGTGCAGTCTCCGATCCCATCGCCAGGTATGGCAACCTGTACGTGACAATACCCTTTCTTTGCCACTCTGCCGAGCCTGACCGATGCTTCTCAAGTTGCCCATTCTATGACAGGATAGCACTTTCATGCTCTTAGTCAAAGATCATAGAATCTTACTAGTCAGTTCATCTAAAGTTGAGTCCTTGTCATGCGTTGAAATGATGCTAAGCCAAAGCCAGACATCTTGAACTTCCGTTACCCACCTGTAGCCTGTGTTAGCATTTGTATTAGCTGGCCATTTACAGCTCGAAAGGGTTTTGCTGGACGCAGAGCTGCAAACATAACTGAATTTTGTAGTTATATGTGCAGAGCTAGCAAACACAACACAAAATGGTGTTGACTCATTCTTCAAAAAGCGGGCTTTTCCTCGCCACAGTTAGAGCTGCACAATCATATCACACGCTGCGTGCTAGAGACAGACTATCTTGGTCTATCTTTCATGGTGCCTTGGTAATATTGTCTGTGTCATGCACTGTATATTCGGTTTCGAGATCACTGCAGCAGTGTGGCTTTATGCATGTAAGCATGTATGATTTTGACTGAAGTGGAGTGATTACTAGTAAAGCCCCTGAAACTTGATAAAGTGGCGACACTCTCTTCTTCTGCTCACGCTTCTCCTCACTCTTTCTTCTTTCGCATTTTTTTTTTTCGAACCACCTGCCTCGTCCCTGCATAGCAGACACCCTTTCGTGGGGAGAATGCACGCTTACCAGGCAACATGCTGATAGCAGTCGTGCCTGCTGTCTATTCTAGAGTTATTATTAAATGAGTGTAAGACTGGCTGACGACAGCTCTGTGTGGTGCCGTATAGGGTATATAATATGCGCTGACAGCAAGATTTGTAGAAAGCTTCACCATGACTGTCTGTGCAAGCAATAGCTCAGAGCTTCAGTGAAAGAATAATGCACGTTCACACCAAGTGTCCTTTGGCATGTGCTTGCCTTTGATTTGTGAATTGTTTTATTGGTTGTCTTTTTTTTTTTGTTTACTTGTCAGCTAATGAGTTTATTATTATAGCACATGGCAGCATACACAGGGTGAAACGAATGCCTTTTTGTGTTCTCGCTCGTCATTACATCCGGTTCTATATGCTGTAGTTTTTTTTCATTGGCAAAATACAACTGCAGTCCCTGAAGTCATGTGAGATCAACTAGTCATTAGTGGCCCAGAAGAAGCGCTCATGCCTCAGGCTGTTCGGAGGTTTGTCTTTTGAATCGATGCACGGACCCTCTCTCGGCACCTCACCTGGTTTTGCATTGCCGATCACGGAGGCAATGCAAAGTGTTAATGGGTATGTCATTGTTGTGTCACTAGTTTTGGTTTCAGAGCACAGTTTGTTGTTGTCTTGTATAAATGGGCGTTGTAAAATAAATAAAGAATCAGTCTGCTTTGTAGGGTTATGGTGGCTGGTCAGCTCTCTTTTTTGCTGCCTCCGGTACCACATTGGCGATGAGGGGTCCTAGTTTGTTAGTAAAAGCAGTATCTCACCTGTAGCACGCTGGCCCCGTTCCTGCAGCCTTGCCTCCCCCAACATCATGTATGCCGCACCTGTACTGCGACCACAATGGCCTTGCTTGTTTGAAACCTCTTCTTTTTTTGGCCTCTGCAGCATTCAACTTTGCACCCAAATAACGCAATGCCCTCCTGCTACACAGTCTGGGCATTGAAGGCCAGCATGAAACACTGCCACCGCATGTCTCCAAACCTGCCCACCCACTATCCGCTGCAACAGAGTCCAGCGAGGCCAAAAGGTTGGCGCCTGATCTGTCACCATATGATCAATCTGTCACCATATGACCAAGCAGTCACTGCAATTACGCGGCATTTTGTCTAAGCAAGCAATGTAGTCATAGAACACCATTACTTCTGCCACAGACCAGCAACCAGGTGACTGCATACAAGAATATGTCACTACTTTAAGAGAGCCTGCTGCTTCATTTTGTTCTGTCACCATGGATGACTCCCTCATCGACCAGCGCATATAAGGTGTCTCATCACATTACCTTCGTGAACGTCTGGTTCTAGAAGGTTCATTGCTATCATGCTCCTGGCATGAAATTGGAACAGACTACTGAGCAAGTTCGTGAGCTTATTCTCGAGCACTTTCAGCTGGTAACTTGACTTTCGAGAAATTCTATCCGGCTGTATTTGTCGTCGTGTCGGTTATCATCGCCGCAGACAAGTCTCCATTGACAGCTGCACTGAGACTCAGATCCTTCTGAGCGCTCCCACAGCCTAGACAGTGTGTCACTGCACAGTTTTCATTGTGGTTCCCACCAGCGCCATTCCTTGTTATTTCCCTGTCCTGCACTAGGTCAGTACTGTTTTCATTGCGTTCGCCACTTTCTCTCAGTCTGTATCATTCCACCGCTACCATTAATGAAGTCGCCTGTAAGGACTTTTCTAATGATGCTGGAAGGTTGTGTTATCACAGTGGCCGATCCTGCACAAGCCTGCATTTTTGTTGATGTTTCCATTGCCGGGAATTCCTTAATTGTAGTTTCTCGTTGACTAGCGACCATCTGTTTTTATTCTGAGGAGAAGATGAGTCACTTAGTTATGCTCCGCGAGTAGGCTTGTGCAAATATTTGAATGCTTCGAATATTTGAATGAATACTAGAGTATCTGAACTTGCTTCAATTCAAATTGAAATCATTGCAAATTTCGAAGTATTCTCAATGAACAAAAAATGTGTATACCGTATTTACTCGCATAATAGGCGCACTTTTTTTTTTCAGAAAATCCGGCTTGAAGTTAGGGGTGCGCCAATTGCGTGGGGTAAAATTGTCGAAAAATTTTTCGACTCGCTTCGCACGCTTTAAATCTGCACATTTGTCGAGTAAAAGGCGACTTTATCATTTATCAATTAATTTAGCACAAAACCAACATACCTTTTAATAAACAAGCGAGAGCCGTCAACTGCACACACACACGCGTAAAATTTATTTACACAAAAGTCGTAGGTGTTCCTCCTTTTCCCTATTCATAGTCTGAGTCGGAGAGCACACATTCATCCTCGCTGAGCAGGGATTTGTTTTCGGTGTCTGAATCATCCGCACCCCACAACATGTCATCCTCACTTGCATCCAGTGCGTTCGAGATACCCGTCTTCCTGATGCTTTTCCTGATGACTTCGTCAGAGATCGCCTGCCACGCTTCCACGATCCAAGCGCACATTATTTCCACAGGTGGCTTCTGGAGTCAGCTGATGTTGTCCTCCAGCCATACATGTGGTGTACAGCCTTCGAACATTGTCCTTGAAAGGCTTATTCAAGGACACGTCCAAAGACTACAGTATAGATGTGAGGCCGCCAGATCTGTGCGCAGCTCCTCTAGCTCATCTCAGACGGGGTCTACTAGGTGCCCACGAAAACTGTCCAGGATAAGCATGGACGGGAACAACAGACCACCCGGCCGCCGACCCCAGACTGTTTTCACCCAATCTATCATGAGTTCCGTGCTCATCCAGTTTTTTTCCTGGACTCTGACATAGATGTCTTGAGAGAAATTTGCCTTTGGGAGCATCTTACGTTTGAAAATAGGGAGCTTTAGAATACCGTTTGCAAGCGCTGCGGGCGCCATATGAGTTTTAAATAGCGCCTACCCTGCTGCAAACTGCAACGCACAATCAAAGCGACACCGTAGCCTCGAAACCAGGGTTTGCTGGGCTGCGATTGCCGCATGCAATTTTAATTTTCTGCGTTCAGTCCACGAACGCCGACTCACGTTACGAAGCATGCGCAGTACCACACCGCAAGGGCTCGTGGTGTACTATTTTAAAACTCCCTAATGCTGGCAGTGACAGCGGATGGGCGCAAGCTACGCCATAAGTTATTAGGGAGTTTTAAAATAGCGCACGAGCCCTTGCGGTGTGGTTGCTGGCACTGCGCATGCATCGTAACAGGAGTCGGTGTTCGCGGACTACACGCAGAAAATCCGAAATTGCGTGCGGTGATTGCGGTCCGCATGTGGCCCGCAAGCGCTAGTTTCGAGGATACAGTGTCGCTGAGATCGTGCGTTGTGGTTCGCAGCAGGGCAAACGCTATTCTAAAACTCATATGGTGCCCGCAACGCCAACAGCACTTGCAAACGGTATTCTAAATCTCCCTATTGTAAAGCTCCTTATTATGGTGCATCGTTGTGTATCAGCGCCAGACGATCTGACGATGACGCTCCGTGCACCTTTCTCCGCTGTCGTGTTCCATGACATATCAAACCAAAAGGGGGTCTGATCAGTGATGCTGATCTGAGACAAAATGAAGTGTTTCTGCTGTCGGAGCTTTATAATGAAACGGTGAAAGTCCACCACTTTGTCCTGATATGCTGTGGGCAAGCGCTGGCACAAGGTGGTCCGCTTTCGCAGTGCGAGGCCATGGCGCCGCATGAAATGAGTTGTCCATCTGGAGCTGGCTTTGAACTCTTTTGCTTCGATGCGCTGCGCTCGCGCTATTCTGCGCGCCTCAGTCTGCACAATATCCAATGACACAGCACACCCGTCTTGTCGTAGCTCCCGTATATGCTGGACCAATTGCTCTTCGACGTTCGGATACCTGCCTGTCTTGGCACCACGGAAATCCCGTTGTGTCTTCTTCGTCGCCTCAAGTTTTAAAGACAATAATCTTTCTTGAGGACCATCGACGCAAAAATTTTGGTATGTCTGTATGTCTGTATGTTTGTCTGTCTATTCTTAACGGCATCGAGTATTTGAAACAGCCGACCTCATCCGCAGCGCCCACCTATGTTGCTCAAGGTTGAACGTTCATGCTTGTGCAATTGTCAATTAAAAAGCAATTATTGCGCATGACTGGGGCACCGTAACAACACTTATATATTTTGTATGTGAGCTTTTTACTAGAAAAGCCATACATAAGCAATTTTAAGGACCGTAGCGCTTATCACGGTACACTGACCATGCCACGGTTGCACGGAAAGACGAGTGTTTCCAACGCTTTGCTAAAACGAGACAGTGTTGGCGCCTACCCGTCGCCTTGCGTTCTAC